GGGGGGGGGGGGGGGGGGGGGGGCGAGAAAGAGTACTGTTGGCGGCGTCGAGGAAATGGGGCGAGGGAGCAGTAAGATTGTGATTGGCGGAGATGGCTGAGAAGTCGAGGTGGACGCGAAATGCATCAGAGAGCGTCAAAGCCATCATTTATCGGTGAGGATGACAAGACATCAACAATCGCATCACACACAGAAAATCGAAAGCGTTGTACTACGGTTTTTGATTGGTTTGGGTAAAGTTCACTGCACACGATTCGGATTAAATGTTGAAGTCACTACTAATGACACAAATTCTCAATGGTCCCGTTGCCAAGTTAGCGACACAGAGCAGCCGACTTCGATTGGCAAATAAGACAGGTTAAATAAAGTCAAACCAGGGAGATTTCTAGCAATCAGGGAGGGCTAAGTGGGGAATTTAATTTTGTTACCCCATAAGCGGAGACTTCAAGTAGTAGGATACTTTCCGTTGCCGTGGTTATGAAAATAGAACAACCACTACAGAGAGAAAGTGGCGAGGGTCTCTACCTTAACTCCGATTGGTTAAAAAGCTGAGAAGAAGGATACACTTTTGAGGAGGTTCCAGATGGCTCGCAAAAACAATATTCAGGTTTTAGTTGACAGGAGAAGAGCGAATAATTGACGGACTTCGGTCACGTCACCACGACACTCGGCTACGGCTGCTCAATGGCTGGTCACAAGTGATCCCTCCCTCTTATCTGAGATCGCATAACAAAAAGACTCGATCAAGCTAAATTCTGTAAATGAGACCCTAAATGTACGGTAACGTGTCTACAAGTTACAGAACCAGTGAATTTAGTTAGGAGGGAATATCAACATCACTAAGAGACGGCTGCAGTTGATTTCCATCAAAACGTAACCGAAAATAAACGTAGAGAGCGAAAAAGCACGCGATATGACTGGCTCCCAGGCACTGGTTTCACGGTTACCTGAAGGGAGGTTGAGAGCAAGGGGAGAGGAAATGGTAATTACCGTCATCAACACGTAGTGAGCGCATGTGAATTGCCGCGCCCAGTGTTGGTTGTAGACGGACGAGGGCGATAAATCTCACAAAACAGACCACTCTTAAATGTGTTGCATTTACGGCTGCAGTATCTAAATGTGCTGGGAGCATTGATAATCGAAAACACATCAAAGCAAATAAAATTGACAATGACACGAAATTTTGTCTACAGCGATAAGACAATGATTTTTCCAGGAACTGAAAAGACGCAAGCTGATCACCCCAAAAAGCGCAGTTAAATACTAGATAAACTGTTCCCCTCTAACTCTTCATCAAGGGGGTTATACTTAGTATGTCAAGAATCACTGCGACACCTAATTTCAAACAGAATGATCAAATTATTCAGAGCACCAGGCTGTCATAGGCAACACGTAAACTTTAAACTGCACTAAGCAGTGAAATTAAATGGAAAAATCGAAAAATGTTCATTTTACAAACAGCTCGCACAAGGGCAAACAGCAGTAAAGTGTTTGCTTAGCGCATCTCAGATATGTTTTTCAATTTATTTTGTAAATTGGCTCACCTTGACTTGGTCTTCCAGATTTTGTTTTTCCTTGGATATGGCCTCGTTGCGCTCCTTCAAATCGGCAATGCTTGTCCGCAATGTCTCGGTCGCGCGCGCCATGTCTTCGTTGCACTGACGCAGTTTGACCGACTCAGATCGGGCCTTGGCAGTTTCCTGGCGAGACGCCTCCAAATCTGCCTTGTGTTGCTAAAAATCATGTCCAGTTGCCTTGGTGAAGCAGTTAGAAACCACAACTTTAACTGCAAACACACAAACGTTGTACCTTTAGATTTTTCTCGAGTTGTTTCACCTTGTTTTGCATATCAGTCAGAGCGGAAAGGGTTGTGACCACTTTGTTAGGCGAATACGAAAGATTCCCATTATGTGAAGACACCTCTACCGATTTCCGTCGCGTGGAACCCTTACTAGGCTTTCTTGAGGGTCCTTTCTTAGCAGAAGCGGTTGCTGGTAAAGAAGATGGGGGAGAGGTGGGGTTCGGTGGATCAGGCCGTGATTCCACCACATTTTCCACGACGTCTATTTGTTTTTCATCTTCAGCGGGTTCCTCCTTAGGTGTCACTGCAACTGCCTCGACAGGCGCGGTTACTTCCCCTTCACTCTTCTCACAGCAAGGCTTTGAAGCCTTCTTGCTTGAAGCTTTGCCAGTTTTTTGCTTAGATTTTTGACTGGTCTTGGGTTGTTTTTGAGTTTCCGAAAAAAGAATTACATGATTGGCAGAATCGTGCACTTGGAGGCTTCCTCTGAAGAGGAAGAAAATGGTTGCACACACGACGCATACAATAATTGCGACGATGATGAATAAGCTGGCTGTATTTGCAAAGTCGTTCATGAAGGGTGCTGAAGACACCACTGTAAAAAAAACAAAAATTGTAACCATTCAGATGTACTACTAAACTATGCACCAATAAATACATTTGCACCAAAAGCTAGTACGATGATACCTCAAACATCGCCACCACTAATGGTTATTAATAAGACCTGATGCGAATAGCAACGCATCTTAAAGCTATACACCTCTTGAACCCTGATAAAAAACAGTGACAAGTGCTCAGCAAAATAGCACTCAACCGTACAAATTGTAGCTCATATGTGAACCACACTCAGTACTTCCAACAGAGCGGTTCAAGTATGGTAAAGCAAAACACACTGATGGTAAATCCAGAGTAAGTTGAAAATTCGTCTTTGGTAATTAATTCGATTAGTTTAAAATAATTTTTTGTAAATACAGCTAATAAATGTTAATTTATTGAATATTTGATCTTGCAAGTTCCATAGGGATCAACGCGAACGTCTTATTTTGCCTGCATTCTACTTAGCGTTTGTTTCAGCGATATTTCACGTTCTTGGATTTAAGCCACGATCATTCACTTTAGCTACCGACTTTGTTTACTTGACGGTGGCTAGTAATGTCGTGCTCATACGCGCACACGCAGCTTGGCATCGGTGGTTTTACAACATGCTTGAGTTTTATGATGAAAAACAAAATCCAATAAATTTGTTCTCTCATACCTTTCTTACTTACCTTGTGCAAGCATAAGTTATATTCGCGTATGAGTTAATGTGCACGTATTTGCTATATTAAATATCCGTTGCGTGTGTAAGCGCGCTCGCACTTATACCGAGTTTTGTTCGATAGGACGATCGCTTAGTCTCTTTTAATGTCCTTAGGCCTTGCCAATGCGATCTTTTATGACTTTACCTTCATGCATTTAGGTGTCTAATTCATGTTTCGAAAATTTAAGATCTAGTTAAGACTTTAAGGCCCTCAGCTCTTAGGGTTGCCAAGACTCTCATTAATCACGCGCCTTCATTTTTGGGTGTCCAGTGAACGGATGAGTGAAAGCCTAATCACAAACGCCCTGCTAACACGTTATTATGGAGTTGAAATGGCGGCAGTCATGCTCTGTTCCATAATGGCGATGGCAGTAGTGGAGGCGGCGGCCGCGATAGCTGCCATCATAGAACACAGCCTATTGTAGAGTGAGAAAAAGCCATTAATAATATAAATAGTGTCACCTGCTGGCAAGTTGGCAAAGCGGAATGAATATGTTGCAGTGATGCTATTTTTTGTACAAGTAGCTTCTAACTTTAAACATTCTGCTCGTGTTAAATTGAATATCGCATGCAAAAGAGGTGCAAGCCAATTTTTTCCATCGACAGGTGTCAAATGCATGCTAAATTGTGCTTAGCACAATTTACAAAGACACTGTAGAACAACTAGACCAATTATGTTACAACCTAACGTCTTGTCTATTATTGCTGACGTCCTTATTCATTTTCATAAACATTTGTTTAAGTATTTATATATGCAGTACTCTTGTATAAACGGGTTGGGCTAAACTTTTGTTATCGCGAAAAATGTGGCTTAGTCCTCGCCTGTTTGCTCTTCCCGTCAAGGCATCTGAAAAATTTGCGAAATATGCATCCTTCAATCCAACCCCACTTTCGTTAAAGACGTTAAGCGCTTTCGGTTACAAAAATTATTGTTAACTTAACTCTTTCTATCGATAGGCAAGGATCCTACTGCAGATATAGTGCAATCCACTCGTTTCCTTAAGTCCGAACTCCCCGTTAGATTCGCTAACATCTTGCAAGAGTTGCATTTGCTACCTAAGAAACTGCTTGAAACTCCTTCGGCTTCCCTGGTAACTAGTTTGTACGTTTTTGATTTTCCAACACAACATTTTAATTGCTCTGTAGATATGAAGAGTCCTTTTTGGACCTAATTGATTTTGAAGAAAAAGGCCTTACTGCTAAGGACTGTGACGACTTTCTGGTATTTTTGGACAAGTCCTTTTCTAGGCATGGTACCGTAGTTGAAATGATGGCAGCAGTATGTCTTGAATTTCCTTCCCATTTTTCCCTTAAGGGTGTTATGGAAATGCGTGAGAGACATGGTGAAGATCCGGTAGTCAATAATCAGCTTCAGTACTTTCTGGACCGGCTCTTTCTAATGCGAATTAGCATTCGCATGCTTGAAAGCCAGCATCGTAAGTTCACGTGCCAACATTTGTACCTCCGACCTCGCGATTTTTGTTTATCATCACCTAATTTTTGATATTTTCTAGTGCTTGTGTTCGGTCCCGAGTTAAATAAGCATCATCGGTTTGTCGGCTGCATTGATCAGCATTGCAATGTGGTCCATATCCTGCGCGATGCCTACGATGATGCAAAACTTCTCTGCGATCATTACTACGCTGATTCTCCAGAGATGAACGTATCTCTTGTAAATGGTAAGTGATACGTTGCCAGTTATTGTTGATATCTGGCGACTGGTTGCAGTTAGTGCTTTTATTGCTCCCAAATCATACGGTGATATAGTATCGAAGACGTTTTAACTAGACTTATTGTCTGTGCTGCATGGTCGGTTTCCGACATAGTTCAGGCTGGCGATATCGCCACACATTTTGGTCCAAGCCGGAAAATTATCTGGAGATGTGTATGTAATGTTTGGGTAGAATTTGCTTCGAAATTTGGGTTCCCATTTCGCATCATTTTGACGTCCATCACAGACCGTTCATCTCTGATTTTAAAAATTCATGGAGTCTGCAAAAAGAGAATGAGGAGCGGTCATCGCATTCCGCCTAATTTTTAGTCGCATCCGCTATGGAAGTTTAAATGGCGGCTGAAAACTCGTGGACGCTTTTTCTGTCCTGTGCCCTTTAAAATACGTGAATTCTCTACCTTGTAGGTATTTAGAGGTCGTTATCTGCATGGTTTTACCAATATTAGGGACTGTAAAACACTTCAATGAGGTTTTATGTTTGCATTAAGTTGAACACTACTCGATATAGTTGTGCTATCACAAGCATATTGTGAGGAGTGCTAACAGTAAAAGCAGATGACAAATATTCCCGAATTGTGTTTGGCCAAAGCACGAACATATTGCTCTACTTTGATTTGAAGCTTAGCCCCTTTGCGTAGACGATGATGAAAAGTTTATTCTTGTAGATGTAAATGGTGTAATTGAACTTGTCTACGTCCCTTCACACCTCTACCACATTCTTTTTGAACTTCTAAAGGTACGTAGCTGCTTTGAACAGCAGGTTTTCTATGCGTTTTTGTCATTTTTAAGTTCGTCTGGTATTTCTATGTCTCAGGCAGGTGAATTCATCTCCCTCTAACTGTCGTGCCTTATGAGGTAACTCGTAAAGAAGTGCTTTAAGCGAGTCATTGTAAAATGTCTGTTAATCTGCGGTTCTCAAGTCAAGTCGAGACTGCGAATTTGAAACCAAATTCCCCTGACAACCTGCGCACATTTCATCCACAGGCTTCATTGATCTGATCTGAAATTGGAATTTGCTTGTCTAGACATATCGATCTTGGATTTGCTTACCATGTGATCAATTTCCTGTAGCAGCGCCGCAGGTGCTATTAAGCTTCACTGATATCGGATTTCTTGAGCTACCTCTCTAGAAATCGCTAATCTCTTGTCGTGGACTGCAAATTAGGGACGTGCCATTTACCTCAACGCATTTCTCTTTATTGGCTACTTCAGATTCGTGATTTAATTTAAGCTTGATGAATAGCAGCACACCCCACTGTCAATGTAAACATGGTGACGCGGGTTGCGAACTTCTGATTTATCCGGAGTCGTCAGCATGCCCTTAAACACCGGCTTCCTGATGCAATTTAAAGTTGCGAAACATCCCTTTTTTGCAGGATTCCTTAATCATGACCTAGGTGGACGAATTGCCTGTCTAATCTGAAGTCCGCTTTGTTGAAAGTAGATTGTCTAGAGAGTCCGTACTAGTTGATGCTCGTACACGCACATTGTCTTTTTCTTCTAACTGCCCAATAGAATGCGATGCGTGCGGTGGTTGAGAAAGGTCGCCTTGTCAACAAAGACGAGTTTCCGCCAATCCAGGTTCTTGTTGTCAGCGGCAAGCACAACGTCACAATCAAGGTACGTCCTGTGCACCCCCCCCTCTCCCCTTTTTTTATTAATCCGTGACAGCAAATGTCGCAGTGATGCAAAGTACTTATTGCAATGTAATTAAAATGCCCTGTGTGCGACACTGTATGGTAATGCGAAGCAAAATTCATGCCACATCAGACGGTCGTGATTGTACCGTTTTTGGGTGTTCACGACGTCTCCGATACGGCTGAGGCGTCGGCGGTTCTGCGCATTTACCGTTGATGACGGTGGTACACACATCGTCCCTCTGCAGTGCAAATGCAACCAGATCGCACTTGTCACTTGCATCATACTGTCGCACGCATTTCCTGTTTCCTGATGTTGTTTAATATATCCTGGTCGTGAGGTAGATGCGCTAACACATCACGAGACTGTGGAGCCCTCTGACGCAATTGACGCTTGCGGAAGTACGCCTAGTGTTTTGTGTGCCTTGGTATCCACGGTAGGCAACGTTTCGGTGGAGCTTTCGCGTCCTTGGGACTAACCAGCCGGCTTGAGACGAAAAACTAACTCGATAAAATTGTTGCTGCTGGTCCAAGGAATCCTCTGTTGTTAACTTTTCGTGGAATTGTCTACTTTCAAACCTCATCCTTGCCACCAACAACGCTGTATCAACTTGCTGATTGTCATTCGCCTCGTTCCTACTCCTTAGCTCGCCACTCACACCGTAAGATGAATTACCACGATTACGTGGGTCTGATCTCCTGTAGCACCACGCCCTACTTCTCGTATTTTGAGTCCCGTGACGCCAATTTCTTGCCTCTTTTGTCACTAAACTTTCACCTCGTTGACATCGACTAACGCTGCGGATATCAACTCGAGTCAGTATTGACGCGCTTTATTGGGAGAATCATTGCTTCCTTTGACGTGTGGTTGTTAGGTGTTTCCAGGGTCGGGCCCTGGAACCTGCTCGCATGTTATTTACTGAACTCCATCCGACGTGTCACTCCCGTGAACACCTGCGCCCTTGAACACACGCAACTGGGTTCATGTGGTGGACCAGCAACGAGAACCGCCGCCTTCTGTGCCAACTTTTTACCGTTCACGTACGCACCCTAACTTGCATTACCCGCAATCCTACGTTGAGTTGCTACGTAACGGCAGCAAACCGAGTCAGATTTAACTTCAGAGTCCTCTACTTTGCCGTCATGAAGGCACACAAGCATAAAATCGCATAATAAATCCCCAAAACGCCAATTTAAATGCACAGAATCCTGCTTCAAACCCACGGCTTGGCTTGGGCGCAGGCAGTAAAACGTCGTGGGCCATGCGTGCGCTCGTCCTTGTTAAACCAATCAGCGCACGAGGTTTGCACGCAGGTGATTGGGTGTGGGAAACGTGCGTGTGCATGCATGAGGCCGTCACGTGACAGTCTGAAGCGCACAGACGCTATGTAGTTGCCCTGACAGCCCATTTGTCAGGGATTGAGTGTTGTAGGCGGTGACGACGTGTTCATGATGTTTCGCGTGCTTTTTCCATGTGGGGGTCACAGGGCCGCCTCTCGCTATTGGTCAGTTATCCGGAGTTGCGCTTGAACCGGCAAAGAAGTTGATCCAATTTAAAAATCGCTCAGCTAATGTGGCAAATTGACAATGTTAGCGTGCGGGCCGTTCAAAGTCTGCGGTATTCACTAAATCCAGTCGAGGGGCAGCTGTTTTTCGGCTAGAAATGATCGATTACAACCCTGTCAGTTTAGACGTTACAGCAAGCCGCGTAGATGCATTTGTCGATGGTTTATCTCGTGCGATGCGCAAGTTTGGGTGTGTCCGGAAGGCGGCTGCCGGTGACAGGACGGCTCATTACACAAGATCAACACATGCGTGTATTTATAATTACTCCGCGACATCTGCTTGGTGAAAACCTTCCGAAGGCCCCGTAATCTCCGATTTCAGCTCTCGGACCTGGGTGGGGGATTCCCTCGTTCCCTCAATGACCAACTCTTCCGGTACACCTACTCGACCGGTGGGTCCAGGACGGGCAAAACAGAGTCCCCCTTTTCTCCCTCTGCGGGCTACGCACCAATCGCCGGCTACGGATACGGCCTGCCCCTGTCCCGTCTCTACGCGCGCTACCTCCACGGCGATCTAACCTTGTCAGGCATGGAGGGCCATGGGACCGACGCCTACGTCTACCTGATGCGAAGAGAGGCCGATGCTGACGAGTTCCTACCCGTCTTCAATAGGACCTCGGCGCGGCGGTACGAATCAGTTGGTATTCCCATTGACGACTGGATCCACCGCAGCCCCTCCCACGACTCCCAGCAACAGGCTTCCGAAGGTTCACCACGGGCGTCGTGAGGCGGCGGTGGTGGTGATGCGGAGTAGAAGAGCGCCAAAACAAGCTGTTTATGTTCTTTTTTCACGTAATATCAACTGGTAATCTCTCTTTTTTGTACAAAAAGTGCGAAATAGGCTGAATCATATATACCGGCTACCTCCCATTCTTGGTTTTCTCATTTTTCCGCTTCGTGGTTTCCATGGATAAGGAGCTTTATAGACCGGCTAGAATGCAATTGCAGAAAGTTGAAGGGGCAGGTAGTCAGTACTTGAAAATTTGGGTAAATCAACCGACTAAACAGCCATCTACTGGAAGACACTAGCGAACTCGTTTTCGAGGAGGTTATATCTGCTGTGGGTGGTCTTAAGTGCAGCCTTGTCAAGAACCTAGTGGCCCATATGGAAGTTAGAAGGTTGTAGCTGTTTGTCTACGTAATCATTTTGTAAAAACTTCAGTGATGCCACTTAGTGGGGATGTGGCGATTTCCTTATATGAACATCAAAAATTTTGGTAGGGATGCCATAGCTACAAAAAAGTAGTGAATTCTAGGCATATAAAGTCATCGTGAAATACTCGCTACCAGGTACGTCCCATTTAGGGTGTCGTACCGCGATTGTAAGGGCAAATCATGGTAGGCACTTTGAAGGTGAGGCATCGTTATTTAGTTTTCCATCCTCGTTGTCACGTCTTTGTGTGTCGCAAAAGATAACTTCTGCAACTATTGATTCAGTCTAGATCGGTGGTCTGGAAGCGCCCCTGGACACTCCGGTCCAATCAGTGTCCACTTCCAAGGTCATCGACAGACTTGTGTGTGTGCGGATGTTTCACGTCAATCCACTCGCGACTGCGGTACACGAAAATCAGTTGTCACGCCTGTGATTTGCATGAAAGGAGGTCGTCAAGCGATTATCCACGTTGCGGAATCTGAACACGAGGTGTCTTACGCAAACACCCCAACACGACAATGTCGAGTGGATTACCAGGTCGTTAAACTGAGAGCGGATTTGAAGAATTGCTGCTCGGATGTTGGCGGTCTAGTCTAATGATGAGGTTGAAGTTACACACTCGGTGGCTGTGTCGGTGTGCGCGTAAAAGTAGATTTCATGAAACAGTCGATGCATGGACTACCTGCTGTAGTCTCACTTCTAGGTTAATGTGAGATTGCCATTAAACCAGCCCCTCAAAGAAGGGCATTAGCATTGATAACCGGAAATCCACAAAAATATTCCATTTTACGCTCAAACCGTCCCGCATTTCTTCCACTCACCTCACAAACAAGCC